CAGTTCTGATCTGTTATTCTTGGAAAATTCCCAGTATATTTGTTGTCCATCCTTCTCATTCCCATTTTACAGATCTGTAAATATGAGACTAAAGTACCTGTTGTAGTTTAACCAACTCTTAAGAAATTTGTTAAAATAAATACATTGTTTACTTAAAAGTTACATTAGCAATTGTAACAGCCCTCTGTCCTTATCCCGACATCTTTTCTATGTTTGATTAAATGTGTTTGACGTTTAAACTTGTGCATACGGTCAATCTAGGACACACTTTAATAACAATGCAGCATTAATCTGCAGCCGTAGATAGAAGGAGTCGGTTCGTTGCAGGAATGTGAACTCTCTGCTTTGATTATCATTAAACTCTTATCAGCTCCAAGCAGAAGGAAACAAACTGGGAGGAGAGGAAATCCACTTCTCATTCTGACATAGTAACAGTCACCGAACAGTCTGAATCTTTTAGACTCCTTTAGACCTGGGAGTGACATCAGCCGTGCTTTCATAGCAACAGCGTTGACAGTTATTAGCCACAAGGAACTTGTCTGAGTCTACACTTCTCTACCTAAATTTCAGGTTATTGTTTACTAAGGTCAGCGCAGAGTGTTCTCTTCCCTTCTTTGTTTGGATTGTTGTGTGCTGTAGTAGCAGTCATTGAGTCTGAGTGAAAATGGGCCCACCCACCCTTCACTCTCTTCGTAGGTGAACAGTACACTGTACTTTTACCAGGGTGTGGTGCACAATTGTTGACATTTCCTGCAGCTGTATTTTTACCCTGCAGATGTGTTTTTGCACTGTAGTGGACAGAACTGGGAAAGATGTGTTGAGTCAGGAAAGATATGATGCCGCCGCTCTAATGGAGTGAACAAATGCAGCAGTCTGTCCTGGATCTTATTGCAGTAATGTGATTCTCCCAGTTCCTCAGTTCCTCAGAGCAGAGGCCTCCTGTCAAGTTGGTGTGTGTGTGTTTGTTTTTGTTGTTAAATGAAAGGGAAAAAACCTCACGTACTGGAAGGTGGTCTGAACCAACAACCCCAAAATATTTAATATTTTTCAGTACAAATCTTAATGAGTCCATTTGGTTTTTGTTTGTCTTTTTGAGTTTTTACCCAAGGCTTGGAAGGTTGTGGAGTTCTGCATTAGTGCATCAGCCAGTTGGATTTGGTTACCAAATTCTCTTTTCATCAGCCGCTGCTGTGCTGAAAGACTGTTTAATTAATTGGTGGATTCACAGTGATGGATTACAAACATATGCTGTGTTCAGTTTATAAGGTCTGTTTTCTATTGCTGCCACAGTTGGACTGTTTGTGTTGGAGAGCAGCATTTGATGAATGGAAAAGAAAAAGTCAGGTTCATGAAAAAGTGGCAGCTGAACTGAAGTCCAGGGACACTGGTGAATTTCATCTCCACACTGGCTGTGTGGATTCTCCCTCACTGGTGTCACAGCGACGCCCACAGGCAGCAGCTACCTCGACGATGCTAACTGACAAGCTAAGAGTTTCAGCGTTCTGTTGTAAACAGTTGTTCATGTTAATTGTTCCATAGATTAGTGGTTGAATTAGAGTTAGGTGTGTCACTAAATAAATATAACTGCTATATATACTCAGTTGCCCATTGTTAGATTTCAGGACTATTTTGGTACAATTGTATATACTCAGTTGCCCATTGTAAATGTGTGGTTTCAGAGTTAGATTTCAGGACTATTTTGGTACAACTTCATTGTACAGTGTAGCTATGGCTGAAGAATAGACAGAAAATCCTATTAGGTATTATTTTTATTCTTATATTGTACCAGTTGAACAGGGTAGAACATTGCTGTTCTACGTTTATGTATTATTAATTCATGAAAGTTGTGATGATGAACAAGACAATGGTTGAATTCAAGTGAATATGACAAACAGAGACAGATGGAAGTACATGTCCTGTTGAGGAGGAGAAGAAGAAGGAGAGGGACAGTAAAAAAGAAGAATATTAATATATATTAAATACATAACTTCTAAAGTTATGGGGCAGTGGTGGCTTAGTGGTTAAGTAAGTGAACTGCACCACTGTTCACTTTGGTGATGGGTTAAAAACAGAGGTCACATTTGGTCGTGTGCAGTGGTGAGCTGTGTCACAATGACAAGGAGTTCACTTTCCTTTCTGAATGGCTCCAAACCAACAGTGGAGTCTGTAATTGTGTCTGGGACGTCAGTGGAGCGGGGGACTTTTCAGCAGGTGTACGTTTGTGTGACTTGGCAGAGAAACAAGTTCTAGAAGAGACGTTTTATTTTTCCATGGTCCAGTTGGAAGGGATTTTTCCTTCCAAGTGTAACCGTTTAGCTCAGTGAACCTGCATCTTGGAACTGTTCCTCAAAGAGCCGTCTGGACTCTGGAACACAACAATCTTATCTCTGCTCCACACCGCAGAGCCTTTGACCTGACATCCAGTGCCACAGTTGAATAGCAAAGTCAATTCAGCAGTGCAGTAACATTATATATATAAGTGTGTGTGTGTGTGTGGGCACGCACAAAGCTGTTGCTGCAGACGGGGGCCAGAGGACACAGCAGTGTTTTAAATAAACAGAGTATCTAAGGCAGATAGAAATGGAGGGTGGGGTCAGTCAGGGTGGGGGGCGGTAACAAACAAACTGGCAGAACAATTAAGACCAACGGCATCAAAATCCCATAATGTGTGGATCCTTTTTTAAAGTTGTGTTTTGGGTGCTTTGTGGAGCATGACATGTCTCTCGTCAGCTCAAGTGTGTGTGTGTGTGTGTGTGTCTCTCTGTGTGTGTGTGTGTATGGTAGAAGACAAAGTTACTTAAAATAAATGAAATAATATTTCTCTGCTTGTTCTCTGTTTGTGTTTTGTGGGGGGCGGTAACAAACAAACTGGCAGAACAATTAAGACCAACGGCATCAAAATCCCATAATGTGTGGATCCTTTTTAAAGTTGTGTTTTGGGTGCTTTGTGGATAATGACATGTCTCTCGTCAACTCAAGTGTGTGTGTGTGTGTGTGTTTCCTTGTTTTATAACTGAAGAGTGAGATTGAAACTTCAGTCATTTCAACAGGTTTTTATTCATATTTAGTTAAAGAAAAAAACATTTACTGGAAGTTACTGGAAAAAACCTGATTGAATAAAATCAACCTGATAGATCATAAAGATATTATGATCACATTTGTCTTAAAACTTTTCGACTGACACTCACACGAGTTCATCTTCTTGTAATGCTGATTTAGCAGGACGTTGAGCTGTCGTGTGTTTCTGTTGCAGGTTGTCCTTCTACTCAGGCCACTCCTCCTTCTCCATGTACTGCATGTTGTTCCTGGCTGTGAGTATCTTCAACCTTTAGGTCGTCATCAGTCTGTCAGTGTGATCCACTCCATCAGTCTGATAACTTTAGGCTTAATCAGAGTGTCGTGCTGTTATTGATTGATATTGTGTAAATTAAATACAACTAACAAAGAGTAGCCACGGTGGAAGTTTTTACATGTTCACACTGCAGGAAAAAATACTGAGAATGACTCTTTTTTTTGCCAGTGTGACCAATATCACTTTTTTTTATATCAGACCCAGGCCACTTTCCTATGTGGTCATACTGTATGTCAGTGACACAGGTTTCACCATTCTGGACCAGAGTGATGGGAGATGGCTAATAAAATGTAAATAAAGGCCAAAACAAGCATGCAGGCACTGTTGACGGAGAAAGTCAGTGGAAACATCAAGATTGGTAAAAATGTTCTTGTGCTCAGGGAGACAAGAGTGTGGGGAGGAGATTGATGATGAATCAGTTTGACTGACTTAAACTGTACAACGACGTCCAACTGGATAAACAAACACAGACGTGTGGATCATCTATATGTACTTCCACAGACACAGTGTCTGACATCAGGTCTTCTTCTGTTCCTGTAGTCAGGTCACTTTAGGGTGTGGACAGTTTACACTGAAGTGCGATGGTTGTCACATTACACTGTTGATGTCAACAGCCATGCAAATAAGTTGTATCTCTGCCTGCAGTGTGAACATATTCTGATTCACATTTGTTTACCTTGGGTCTCAATTATTGACTTTGCTCAGTGTTCAGGTGTGATTTTACCCCCCAGTCCTGATAACTTCTGTTTGCCCAGCGTCTCCAGCAGCAGCAGCTGCAGATAAAAATACACCTACAGACAAAATCCTGGCACAGGAAGTTGGATGCCACAAACAGCAGCTGAGATTTAAACATTTACCTTCCAGAGTGAGGCGTGCTGCTTCATGTCTGCTGAAACCTGTTGATCAGGATTTTAATAATAATAATAATAATAATAATAGAGAGACACCACATTGTTACAGCCAGTGAATGTGGTCAGGTGACCACAAAGGTCACTGGAGGCGCCAACTCCCAGGTTCTTGTGTAGAGTCTATTGTCAGCACAGACGTGGGTTAAACACAGCTGCTGTTCTCTTTCCCCCTCAGCTCTATTTACAAGCTCGACTCCAGGTGGAGTGGGCGAGGCTGCTGAGACCCACCCTTCAGTTCTTCCTGATCGCAGCCTCAGTGTACACAGGCCTGTCACGAGTGTCTGATTACAAGCATCACTGGAGTGATGTCCTGACAGGTCTCCTGCAGGGGGCCATCATGGCACTGCTGGTGGTGAGTTCAATGTCCTGTATAGTATTTGATGAAATATAGAAAATAAAAATAAAAAAAAAAAAAAATATATATATATATATATATATAAGAACAGGAAATTTTTGATGTCATTCTCATAAGTCCAATATCATTACGAATACCCCCATAAAATATAACAGTTTCGTGGTCGGGGTTGTTTTTTTAATCCAACGCTCCATCAAATGTTGACTTCAGAAATTCTTTTTTTGGATATCCACTGCTTAGTGAGGACATCTGGGCTGAAATGTATTAATTATTTCTCAGTTATGACATCACAACCCTTGTGAATGACATCTTTTTAAAGCACTTAAGACACCAAACTAGATGGATGTTCAACATCACATTCTTATGCTTTGTCCATCCAGACAAAAATAAAAAAAAAGAACTGGAAAGAGAATCTGACTTTTAAACACCTTCAACTCTGAGTGACATTGCCAGAGGTGATCTTTGTTTCCAGTTCTCTGTCTTTTTCACAGACACTTCATTTTAACGACACCACCTGCAGCTTTCCATTTGCTCTAAGACAAAATGTCTTTAACTTCCACCCAGGGGGAGGTCAACTCCTGTGTGTTCTGACTGATCAGCTGTTGGAGAACAGACAGATGTTCCACTTCAGTACACACCTGTGAGGTCACAGTATTTCCACTTGTTTCTTGCAGGTCTTCTTCGTGTCCGACTTCTTCAAGCCACGTACGGAGTCCCGTAAAGACTTGGACATGGACCGCACAAACCTGGAGTCCCCGACCAATGGAAACCACTTTGAGAGTCCAAACTAAGCTAAATGAGAGGTGACGTTGAGGACACCTCTGCTCTGTCCAAACGCACATCCAGGATCCCAGCTCTCCAGATTTTTTCATTTCATGCAAAATTATCACAGGACGCACCTGCATGGATTTCCAGTAAAAGAACTTGATTTTTGTTTCAAGTGAGCTTTAGGATGATTGTACATCCCCAGAAGTAACGTTCCAAAGCTAAACCTCAGGCCTGTTAATACATCATTAGACTGTTTGAGGCAACAAGTTGCCTTCTCCACTGATGTCCACCAAGGATGAAAGGTGACAATCTGTCCAGTATTTTACGATAAGCCGTCAGGAATTCAAGAAAAGTGGCTCAAGGAAGCTGGAGATTCTGGAAGAAGAACCACCAACGATCTACTGAGTCAGTAGGAAGAAGTACCTGCATGCACTCACTAAAGGGTCTGACCACTGCTACAGAGGGAAAGGTTGGAAATGAGTGAATGTATCCCTGCTTTGTGCATCTCCTGACTTGGGGTCAGTTTGCTCAAAGGTCAGATTTAGGGTCAGTTGTAGTAGAACTCCAGCTCCATGACAGTCTTTGCTCAGGTCTTTTTCTGCCTTGTTTACAGTCGAGGGCTAGTTATGGAAGTGTAAACAGAACTCCACCGAAAAACGTTCTTGAAGTCGACCTGTTTTGTTCAAATCTTGTTTTTTAAAGGATGCAACAGCATCAACAACTCAACTGAAGTTGAACCGTTGTAGTTGTCAGTGACCAACCTTATTGGTTTTTTGCCCTTGTTTTTGACTTAAGTTTGGTTGTGTCGGAGTTAGGTTTTTAATATATTGACTGCTATTTCCATTTCCCAGATATTTCACCAATTTTGCGACTTGTTGGTTTTATTTGACGGCCCCTTTTATCTGCTTTTAAATAGAAACAAATACTTTCAACTTTTTGTTTACCTCAGCATGATTTGATTTAAACATTTTCAACCTTTGATGACGTAAACACAGCAGTTAACAACAGAGGAAGCCTTTTCATCACAATAACCATTATTAATGTGGAACCACTCAGTTTTTGTCATGGTCATATTCTCCTTTGCTTCTAATTCATTTGTTAACTACTGTGGGTGGATGAGTAGTACTTGGCCCTGCTGCTGACCCAGATGTTGAACCTCATTTATTAGTCATACTTAGATGCCGTGCCTTGTTTGCTGAGGGTCCTGGCACAGCCAATAACCGCGCCTACTCTTGTATGAACGCACCATAAGATGAAGGTGTGTGATCTTAAGACCAGATGGAGCTGGAAACTAAAACTGATCCTGAATCAGAGCAAACTGCAGATTCAGGAACCACTGTCGTCTGATTCAGCAACCCTCTGACCCGGTCAGTGGAGGCTCCACTGACCTCGTGTTTGGCCACAGGGTTGAAGAATCAACGGTCAGTTCAAGTCCCTTGTTGCCTTTGCTGAACTGCTGCTGCTGCTATCACAGCTTCCTGTGTATCCAAAAACTGAAATATCGACATCAAGTGAATAAGCATCATTGTAGTTTTTGTATAATCTGTATGTTAGAAATAAGTCGACATACAGACTTTTATTGAAAATATGTGTTACAAAGTATGTACAGATGTCTAAAAAGAATCAGAAATTTTACTTATTAATAACATTGTGATTGTGTTAGTTGTCATTTTAAGTTTTCTCAAAATTAAAGCATGTTTTGTTTATGTCACCATGGAATGTGTTTTTGTTGCTAAGCACATCCTTGACTTACAAAAAAAAAGTTTATTTCATGAATTATCTCAAGGTAAGAAAAAACACTTGAACAGTGTTGAGCAATTAAGATCTAAATCAAAGGTGGAAAGTAACAAATTAATTAATTAATATGATTTTTTTTTTATTGTTTTGTTAAAAGGTAATTTTACTTGTACGTAAGTACATGTTGACTCAAGATAACGTTGACTAAGAGACGGCCTCTGTCGATGGATGACGGCTGGTGCTGAACAAGAACCGGAGGTGGAGGATTACCAATCAGAGCTCTCCCGTGGAGCAGATGACTCAGAAAGAGAAGCAAATCCTTGGCCATATTTCAGCCAGCTCTTTGTTTTCAAATGCAAACGTGTCAATAACTTTGCAAACGTGCCTGCCCCGGTGGACAGAGCTGTCTCCGTCGAAACTTCCTCATCAAACCTGCGACAGCATGTGGCGGTGAGTAGAGTATTTATGCTTTTGCCTGTGATTCCCAAACGTCATGTTTAATGTTTGGTAAAACCTTTCCCTGTTAAGCAACATGTGCCTTCATGATATTGATTATTTTCGCCTGGCATCCATCGATGATAGGTTATGTTTCAGTGACGTAGAGCAGCATCAGAGTACAGTCAGAAATAATACAAGTGCATGATTTGAATTGCAGTTGGTCTCTAATGAAATCCTCTTAAATAATGTATAATACACAAGCTCCTGAGTTGTTGTAGCCTAAACGGTGTAGCCTAGATGGACAGTGATAGTAAAATCTTATTACAATAATTTCCTGAACAAATCGCAGAAAAAAAAGTTTCTCAAAAATGAC